GGAAATGAGCTTTAGGTTTTTCCAGAGCGAGGTTTGGCAACGCTATGTGAGGAAAATCAAGTGAACGTCGAAGTGCGCCACGACTCTACTACTTTACCTCGTGTGTCTGTAATTTTATCCGTCAATGGCAAGGTGGCCCTGTCAATAGGGTGCTCCCCTTGTCTTGACAGCAACTCTTTGGCGATGTCAAGGTCGCTCACTACGATGACAGCAGACTGTGAAGGTGGCACCCCGACTGACATGACGCCGCCGTACCGCTGGGCCCACTCCGCCAACACCTCGTGAAGGTGTTTCCCGGACCGAGTCAGCGCCACGAAGTTCCCGAGGAGAGGCCATCGCCAGGGCCCTGGAGGAAGGTTCTTTGGCCGTCGGAATAGCTCGAAGATGACGACGAAGATCAACAGGAAGATGGCGGCAGATTGGAGATTGAGCACACCGGCAGAGCCTTGATCAGCCATGTTCAATTGGGGTACTTAATAATCTGCAGGATGTTGGAGTGCGCATGCACAATCTGATCCCGCGCGGACTCCAGCTCATACCCGTATATCGTATATGACCTAACTAGGCCTATCTCATGCAAAAATGCACTTCAAACTGACCTTGGCCAGTACACAGAAAAACAGAGGGGGAAATTTTGAAGGACCAACCCCTATAGCTAAATTCCCTTAGACACCATCTTTCACAGGTGTCCAAGCTGGACAGAAAAGTGATGGTGGACATGTCCTCTTTCATTTTCCTTTCAATTTGTAGTGGGTTTGTCAATGTATTTTTGAGAAATTCTCACCCAAAACAGACCACCCCTAAAAATGAAGGAAATTGCACTGTCCGAAAAAGTACAAGTAGCTATTTTGAAAATGCATCGCTCTGCAATACGGCTAAATAGTGCCACTTTCGGACTCAATTGCATCCAAATTACTCAAAATTGGAAGCACTAAAGTCCAAGCCAGAAGTTCAGTGCCATATTTCTTCGATTCCCCAATTCCATGGCCCTCAGGATTCTCTAATATAGAATATTTGGATTATATAACTTTTATTAATGAGCTCGGCGGACATATTTCTGGCCTATTTACGGGGGACCCCTATAAAAGCCACGAACATAGGTCCTACACGTGATTGAAATTACCTAAGAGTGTCAACTCAGGGTCAGATGCATAAGAAAAAACAAGAGCACAACCGGAACTTATGATTTGTGCTGACGTCCTTGGAGCTATATATAGGCCTATATAAACTTGAGCACTGACTCATGTTTAGAGTGATGCCTACTGGTCTTGTCCATATCTGTGCATAAACCTATGGAAAACTCGAATTCTTTACGACGTTTGTACGGCGTTTTGCATATCTGGGTCTGTATTCTAAAACATTACGTCAACAAACCGAAAACGCAAACAACTTGAACGTACAATCGGTCAATCAGCGTGGGTGAAACCCATAAAGGCGTTTATTATGTCTGCGGTGCAACCACGCAATAACTGCCGCTAGCTCGCCCTGCCTAGGAGAAATTATGTACGCATGAATCATCAGAAGTGCCCTTCCTCCAGTAGTGATGACACTTCCCCCAAACTACCACACGATTCAGACCTTTCATTTCTGTTTGTATATGGGTAGCCGCGATGGGCAGAAAAGTGGTTCCAGCGATCGAAACGACATTTATTGTGTTATGGTTGTTATGCATGCAGTTGTGTCAAAGATGCACAATAGTCCTGCTTTGAAATTTTTGCGTCGTGAGAGATATTGCCGAATCGTCAATCTAACTATCGGTCCATTTCAGTCAAGAGGCTACTTTGGGCCGGCAGTTGAGTACTTGTCCAAAGTCTGCGACTGCGGACTGCGTTCGTATCACCAACGGAAACGTCATTGCTTAAGTAGGTCAAAGCATCAAAGGCACTGGGTGCTCGAGCCGGCCTGTTGGGTGAAGTCTGTTCGTCACCCCTGTTCATCATTCTTAGCATCTGTACCCTTTTTCCCGAGTTTTGTCGTGAACTCCCTCTATGATAAAAAGTGCCATCGATAGAAGGGACGGATCCAGGGGGTGAGTCAGGCCAGAGACTGCCGCATTGCACTGTTTTTCAGGTGTTTTAGATTTTCGGAAGTGATGGATCAATTTTTGGCAGGATATTTCCCTTTTAGGTCAGGTGATTTTTCAGAGTCTATAAATTGATATAGCAAATATTTTCCAAGCCCCTTTTCCGAGTTGGATTTTTTAAGAAGTAACTGAACGAAACGTATTAGCAATTCTAAAATCTTTGCACGTTATTTTTCTATCCAAGGGTTCGGGAAGCGCGCCATCATGAGTTACTTCCAGGCTCTATGCGGCGACCGAGAGAAGGCAACTCCGGGGGACCCCTCGCCTGCCAATCAGATCACGTGGGCGGTGGAACCTCTAGGGTGTGACGTCATGGGACTGGGAGCTGTTCTGTAGCCAATCACCATTTGATTCCAAAACACTGGCCGCCATAATGCATTATGTCTGGGCAGCCAAACTTTGCAGAAATTCAGTCTTGAAAGCCAACTTTAAGCTTTCAGATTCAATTTTAGTACTTAGCACAACTATTTAGGATTGAATGTTTTCATTTTTTCGTGATTTTTAACGCTTAAGGAATTATTCTTTTGGTTTTGGACTTACGGCCAGTCATAGTTTGTCCAATAATCGCTGGCATAAACGGTACTTTAAAGTAACAAAGAAATATTTATACAAGGGTCGACAAGTTCGTAAACTGAATTAAACAGAATTATTAAGTCAACGTTTTCATATGCGCAGTTTAAACAGCTGGGGATGCTTTATTCTATCACGTTACGAATATTTATTACATAGTTACACCAATAAATTTAAAGCAAGCAGCACCAGTTTTGGTGACATTTATTTACGCTGAATTAAAAGTCGACAGCCATTGTAGATATCGTCCACGTGTCTCTGCAATCCTGGGCAAACACGGATGTGTTCTCGAAGTTCGTGCATTATCAGACCCAAACAATTTCGAGAAGTCGCTGGAGTGCCTCTCGACTAAAGTTCATACCGAAGATCTAATGAAATTAAAATTTGTAATAATACAGTAATTGTACGCCTATGAATGACTGGTTTACATGATGTAGGGTGCTGTTTTGCTCCACCAAAAAGGTTTCCTCGGCAACTTTGCAAAGTTATGAACAAGCGTCCAGATAAAGTAAAATTCGGGCTGCAAAAAGAGTGAGTCCCTCATGAATCCACTCTAAAAGAGACTGAGAAAACCACTCCAAAAGAGTGAAGTTCACTCTAAAAGAGGAACCATACAAAGGATAACTCTCTTTCGAGGTGTCCATAGCTCATTGGTAGAGTGGAATTTCCGTCTTTGGGAGGGTTTTTTTAAAACTCTTTTGGGATGGTTTTACTCCACTCTTTTTTAAGGGGAGTTTTCACTCTTTTGCAAATAGAACTACGATTATAGCTACAACTATAACAATAGTTGAACGACATCCAGTAGATTCAAGTGCAAGAGAAAATTAACACCGATAGCCATGCAATCATGCATCATTCTTCAGAAACTTTATCTTGTTACCCGGAAAGCTTAAACCGAATACATTTAAACTGGTTACATTACATTGACACTTAAAAATGAGGTCATCTACAACGATTGCTCGTCATCCCTTTTTCATGTACTCTCATGCAAGTGAAGATCACCCAATTCAATTAACAAGACGTGCATCTGAATTCAAACACTTTAACAAGGCAGTATGATTGTCCAAATTCTGCCATTCAAAAACAAGCAAAACAATCTCTGTTAATATGCCGTTTATCAGATCTAGCGTTTAATTGCGCGTACTTTAAACGGCTCTGGAACAAAGGTGAGATGTAGGATTCCCTTCAGTTCTGGTTTGGACGCCCCCGGCGGTAGCATAAATGTGAACCGCTGGAAGAGGTTAGTAGCGAAGAGGAACAGTTCTGTCTTGGCCAGCCCTTCACCCAGACAACTCCGACGACCTGGGTAAGCGAAGGGAAATCGATGAGAATTACGTCTACATGTATTTGGGAAATCAACACAGTAGCTTCGCTCGGGCGTTGATGACGCGCAGTAAATTGTTTATCAATCACTGTCCCAATCTATTTCCAATACACAGTGTTGTCGCCTGAGTGCTTCACAAAACAATGGGTAAAGTTTGCCCTCAGTTTATTAGCGCCTTATAACTTATCAGGAGGGCCGGTGGCGAGAGAACAAGAAGTTGTGGAGCTGTGTTTAAAGTGATAATTGCGACATGAGTGCCTCCATTGTTGGAAACAAAATGGTGGATTACGCGTCAAGCATTGTGGACCACAAGCACAACATAGCTGCACGCAGTACTGCAAACATAAAGAAAAGCCATTTTTGTTACAAAGTCTGAAGTAGGTACTAGGCCTACCCTCTCTATTCGCGCTGCTCTGCAGTTCTGGCAAGTCACAGTGGAGAGCACCACCAACCGTTTAACTTTAAAAGGCTACTTTTCTATATTTAGACTGTAGAATGAAATTCTTTGGGCAATTCCTAAATTCAATTCCCATTATTTACACTTTTACCGATGATAATTGGGTGAATCTGTCACCCTACAGGTACATTTGTCCTCCTGTCAAGTGGTACATTTGTACATTTGGTAAAAAAACATGTGTTACATGTGGACTGAATTCATCAAACTAAAACGAAAATGACAACTTCTGCGTCACAGAACGTGGGAGCAAATTACCCGAGTGGTTTATTATTTGAAAGGGGGCAGATTCACCACGCTGGGGGACACTTAAATGATACCCAGATAATTCTGTCGGGGACAGAATTATCTAGGTATCATTTAGAGGACCTGGTCAGTTTTCCGGGAGAGGGGTTGCAGACTTACCGTCTATAACGGCAGTGTCAAATGAAACTAATGAATATTTGGAGAGGACAAAAAGGCTTTTTTTCCGATGGCGTACCTGTTGAGAATGGTATGAAGGTTTCGTGCTGGATCACTGTCTTGCCGTCTTCGCTCAGGAAACGTCCGGGGTTGAACTCCTCTGGTCGATCCCAAACCTTGGGGTCATTCATCATCGCCCACAGATTTATAAACACTTCTATTAGAATTCAATAATCGGTCATCAATTTTAGTTTATTTGATCAGTGTTAACTATAGGATGGGATTTGGTGGCTTGTATGCACTTAGCTGCAAGTATTTAATCGTGACTATATTTTGCTCTTACGTAGAACAATGGGTACAAGTTAACAATCTTACTTCTTCCCTTGGGAATTGTGTATCCTTTCAGCTGAAACTCTTCTGTCGTCTCGTAGGGCAGAGCCATGATCCCCACCGGACGTAAGCGTTGTACTTCATTGATGACCGCGTTGGTGTAGGGCATGCTGGGACGGTCCTCGCAAGATGGTTGACGGTTACTTCCCACCACTTCACTGATCTCTTGCTGGATCTGCATGTCACAGTTATTGATTGGGTAATGAGGCCAAGCCATTATAACTTTATGCTTTTACAGCTGTGACCAAAGTACTTACCACAGAACGAGAGACCCAAGTTCAAATCCTGCCGTGCAGGTGTGTTTGCCACATACTATACAGTATACATGCAAACCAACACACAGCGGCATGACTGGGATGAACCCTTGCTTCATTTTGATATATACAAACTGATTGGTCAAATTATTAGAAATGATAATCTTCTGCAAACTAATTCTCTGAGGGAATTTGTAAAGAACTTGAGATTTAATTATTTCGACATTGTGGGAGAGCCTGTTGTTTTGGTCCAAGCAATACTGCTCGGAGTGCAATACGTTACAGCGCCTTCCATTTGCACGTCAACACTTGCGGCAAGCGTTGAGGGCCCAACTCAACGCACACGTGTTTTGTTAATGGAGTCGATTCTGTGTCCGCGAAAGCGAAACGCATGAACACATCGTGTACGCAACGCACCTAAACAACGTACATGTACATAGGTGCCTTTATGTGTAAACTTTGAACTGTGTACATGTACATGTGTATCGACTGCCCTACATTAGGACTCTGCAAGACAAAAATGATAAAAATTATATCACAAAAAGGGGCAAATAGGCCTACATTCGTTACATGTTAAACATGTTAAACGAATGTCACACAGTACGTGTACTTTACCTTCTCTTGTACTTCGGGGTACTTGAGGACGAAGGATATCAGCCACAGCAAGGTATTTGAAGTTGTGTCCGTGCCAGCGGCGAACAAGTCCATGATACCCCGCCAGATGTGTTGGTGGGTGATGGTCGGAGCAGGCCCCGTGGCCACCCTAGATCCGATCTGCTCTTTTCCTTTAATGTCAGCGATGTGTATGTCAATGATATCCCGGAAATCATTCTCGTCATAGGAGTCTTGATGATCCTGGATCGATTTGATGAGATAAATCATTTCATTTTTATACGCCTCAGTTTCCAGTTGGAAGTAAGGGAAACCTTATCGACAGAAGTAGAGAGATCCAGTATCAGATTCGAAGGAAATATATACATGTAGTATTGTATGATTTCTTTTCCTTCAATTTAGTCTCAGCAATGCATCAGAAATTGTAAACAGGTTAAGAGGAACTCTAACCACCACCACCCAAAATAAGCTGTATTTGAGGTGCATATCAGATGATAAGTACTTACCTGAACTACTGTTTCGATATATTCTTTGACAAATCTGACACATTCTCTCAATTTTGCCAGAAAAGGGGTGTGGTAGAGAAAAGAAAACGTATTTGCCCATGAAGAAATTCCTTCGTTCTCAAAAACAACTCGCATACTGTCCAGTAAATTCTTGAACTTTGGGTCATCGTAATCGAAGCGGGACCCAAAGCTTATGGAGCAGATGATGTTGGACACGGCCTTGTGGATAGGGAGGTTCGGATCAAAGGGTCGATTCTTTTCAGCCTCGATACTTTCGACTAGGTATCGAGCCTCTTCGTTGATTCTGTGCTCCAGACTTTTCTTGCCGACTCCCATTTTTCGAAAGGCGCCGAGGCCGAAACGTCGCTGTTCTTTGGCTCTCTCGCCTTTGTCCCACACAAAGCTCCCTGTTTTGAAAAAAAATGATAATTGGTGACTTTGAAATCTCCTTACGAGAATGAAATATTAGGGTATCGAGATGTAATGACATTTTACGTGTTCACTGGTGCCCATCTTCTTCAGAAATTGAGGCTCAGGGAATTAAGCCTTCGCCGTTTAAGCCCCCTTCCCTCAATCTAGTAAAATTCGACCCCCGTCTCGCTATTACTTGGTATAATTTCCAGGCCAAGCCTTGTCCTCGTAAAGTCCCTACCTCGTACGTCTGCAATTTTTGGCGTAAGCGGAGACCAGGACCTCTCAACGTGGTGCTCCCACTGTCTTGACAGCAACTCCTTGGCGATGCCAATGTCACTCACGACAATGGCAGGAGCCCCTGCCGGACGCAGGCCGACCGACATGACGCTTCCATACCGCCGGGCCCACTCCGCCAACACCTCGTGGGCATGTTTCTTGGACCGAGTCAGCGCCACGAAGTTCCCGAGGAAAGGCCACTGCCAGGGCCCCGGGGGAAGGTTCTTTGGACGTCGGAATAGCTTCAGGACCACGACGAAGATCAACAGGAAGATGGCTGCAGATTGGAGATTGAGCGCGGTACGGGCAAAGGAGAGAAAACTCAGGGCAGAATTTGGATTAGCCATATTTAACTTCAGCAGTGCGAGTCTGTATGGGGAGTGCTGGGACTGTGCAATTGGCCCGCTTATTTATACCATGTTCCCAGCTCTGTGTTTACATCATTCACATACTTCAGACGAAAAGCCGGAAGTTTAGCTTCTTATCGCAAAAGTTCACGGCGAGAGACTGTACGCACAAAAGAAATACTACCTGAGTGGGTGAAAGGTTCTGTTGTGCTGAGTGCGTCTCCTGGGTGACGCTTTTCCGTCACCCCTGTCCATAATTTATAAACATGCTCACCTTTGTTGTGGATTCCCTGTATAAAGTGCAACGTCATTGCTTATCCCTAGAACTGTGGGTCTTCTCGTCCCTAGCCTGGAGCGGATTGGTTGGTTGGTCGGTCGGTTGGTCGATTGATTGATTGATCGATCGCTTGAGCCATCGCTTGATTGATGGGTTGATGCATTGACCGATCGATCGATTGATTGATCGATTGATAGATGGATTGATCGATTGATTGATATGTTTATTTATTTATTTATTTTTTCCTTTAGGCCTATTAGATTGTTCAAAATCGGTAAAAATACTGGTACCCAATGGAATCCTACAATAAATATACAACGAATAAAACACAGTTAGTGCAAAATAATCTTAAAATAGTCCTAAAAATATTAAAATTAAACAAACATAAAAGACAGAAAAATGGACAATAAGAATATCATAGATATATATATATACTTATTAGAAGTAAAAGGCAGTTTAAGCACAAAATACATTAACAAGGTGCATGAGAAAACATTACCACAACTTGAAAATGACCTTAAAAGATCATCATCATTAGTAAAACGTTAACCCGAGATAAAATGAATGAAAAGTACTTTAAAGTGAAGCAAAGAGATTATTGACAAGAACGAGGTTTGAACCTGCGACATGTATCTGGTTGGTTTTCCCTTGTGGACTCCCTGATGATGTCTAAATTGAATAGTTATGAAAAGAGAACTTGAAACTAAGAACATTGTAAATAGGTAAAACGGCATGAAAAAATGTAAAACGAGAGAGGGCCGTGGTTGTGGACAACCATGGAGCTGCTTCGGTTTAAAAAGGTTTGACAAAATCATTCAATAAAATTGTTATTTAATGGCCCAATTGGAAATAAAACAGGGGAAACCTCGCTATCCATGTCATCTTTTGTCACGTGACTTATCAGATGATACCAACAATTTCCATCTCAAACCCTTCCTTTTCTAGGTATCTTCAAAAACCGAAACCGAATTGGACATGTACTTCACGAGATATTGGGCTTTAATGAATGCACCTTTAAAGTCACATGACTTATCGCATGATGACATCATCATCACATCAGGTCAATTCGGGTCTAAATCCCTTCCCTTTCGAGATATACACAAAGTTTCAATCCCATTGGACAAGTACAAGATGTGACGGGGTCGTGGCTTGGAGTCCATCACTCCTTCAAAGTGATAGAATGCTGACAAAACTTGGATTGTCTACTCCAGAGGACGATTTTATTATTTCATTATCATTTTTATCATGCAGAAAAAAACCCTGTAGAAGGAGACCCTGACATTACAATAGTAATTAATCATCTCTATACATTGGGCTCTTAAATAAAAGGCTGATTAATTTTATATAAATTTATATTAAAATAATGTTTACACAGAAGTGAATAATTTGAATATTGCAACCAGCAGAGACATAAGAGAAAGGACAAACAAGGCACATACTGTACATCACTATACACTCATAAGAATGGTGCATTGATCCTCATAACACGCAAGGTGCTGTACATGAAACACTTGAGTGCATGGAGCTGGTACATGTAGTTAAATATACGTATACGACGACAATGCCATACAATGCTAACATAATGTGTATGTGTACATGTACTATACAAGTACATGCAACAATAGAAAAGTTGCGTACACGTAAAGGATCGGAAGGTCACGTAAAAGTTGCACACTAAGCACCCTAGAATTACTTAACCAACGATAAAGACCCAAAGCGGCATTCACTATGACCGGCTGTCCGAATTTATATTCCATTCTGACACTTATTCCGGTAAGCCCAACTAAAGATATGTCCGAGCATGCAGGAGCGAACCCCATGCGTTCGCTGTTCCGTCCTTCGTTGCAACCCCCCATGATTCGTAATCACCAACAAAATCTTATTTGTACTACTGTGATAGGTTATTATAATAAACAGGGATTAATATAAATGACAATTGTACCAATCATATCCCATGAGGCTTGGCACTTAAACAAGGAGTATTAAGGTCTGTTTGTGAACGGAAAATTACAACTTAAAGGTGGATGTAAGTACATGACTGGATGGATCATGAATAATAAATTAGGACCACATTAATAATTTATAACCCATACATTCGTTAGATATACGCACATTAAAAAGTACACATCCCTACATTAACGAGATATTGCACTATGAAGAGTGCCCCCTTACTGTCACGTGACTTGTCACCCAAGCACGTCATAATCACATCCAATCCAAGGGTTCTGGAAGTGCATCACCAGGAGTGTACTTCCAGGGTCTATGAGGCGAATGTGCGAAGGCAACTGGGGGCGTCCCCTCGCATGCCAATCAAATCACGCCGGCGGTGGAAACTCTTGGGTGTGACGTCATGGGACTGGAAGCAGTTCTTTAGCCAATCACCCATCGATCCTTTGCCAGGCATTTACAGATAATATTTAATTGTTTTTAAAACACTGGCCGCCACAATGCATTCTGTCTGGGCAATCGAACTTTGCAGAAATTCAGTCTTGAAAGCCAACCTTTCAAATTCAATGTTAGTACTTAGCACAACTATTTAGGATTCAATGTTTTATTTTTTCATGATTTTTTAACGCTTTAGGAATTATTCTTTGGGTTTTGGACTTACGGCCAGTCATAGTTTGTCCAATAATCGCCTGGCATAAACGGTACTTTAAAGTAACAAAGAAAGATTTATACAAGGGTCGACATGCTCGTGAACTGGATTAAACAGAATTATTAAGTCCACGTTTTCATATGCGCAGTTTAAACAGCTGGGATGCTTTTATATTTATAATATATATTTATTACATAGTTAAACCAGTAAAATTGAAGCAAGCAGCACCAGTTTTGGTGACATTTATTTACACTAAATTAAAAGTCGAGAGCCAGTTTGGGCTGCATCCAAATCTGTTGTCTAGAGCTCGGTGTAGGTCTTCACTCCATTGGAAATGCGTGGAGACGCGTAGACGATAGACCTAGCCGTAGCTCTGGAATCCCGTTTCGGACACGGCCTAGACATCGTCCATGTGTCTCAGGAATCCTGGGCCAACACGGATGTGTTCTCGAGGTTCGTACATTAGACCCGTACAATTTCGAGAGGTCGCGGGAATGCCTCCCGACTAAAATTCATACCTTCATAACTTTATAATACTTTTGTAATAATACAGTAATTGCACGCGTATAAATGACTGGCTTACCCGATGTAGGGTGCTGTTTTGCTCCACCAAAAAGGATTTTTCGGCAACTTTACAAAATTATGAACAAGCGTCGAGATAAATTAAAATTCTGGCTGCAAAAAGAACGAGTCCCTCATGAATCCACTTAAAATAGGGGTCATCTATAACGATCACTCGTCACCCTTTTTAATGTAGGCTATTCTCATGCAATTGGTGATTACCCAATTCAACTAACAAGACGTGCATCTGAATTCAAATACTTGAACAAGGCAGTATGGTTGTCCAATTCTGCTATTCAAGAAGGGTAAAACAATCTCTATTAATGTCGTTTGTCAGATCTAGCGTTTAACTGCACATACTTTAAACGGCTCTGGGACAAAGCTGAGATGTAGGATTCCCTTCAGTTCTGGTTTAGACGCCCCCGGCGGTGGCTTAAATGTGAACCGCTGGAAGAGGTTAGCAGCGAAGAGGAACATTTCCGTCTTGGCCAGCCCTTCACCCAGACAACTCCGACGACCTGGGTAAGCGAAGGGAAATCGAATTTGGTTCCGAAGTCTGAAGTTGGCGCTACCCTCTCTATTCGCGCAGCTCTGGGCAAGTTCAAGCGACGACAGTAGTTGACCGACTGACAGCGCTCGAACGGTGTACGGTCAGACATGTCTAGTCGACCATTTGGGACCACGCTAAGGGGTACGGTTACACCGCTGGTTACCAGTAACATATTTCGTTTATCATTACAGAGGGAACCATTCACATGAAAATAATTGTACGGGATGTCAGTGGCCATGCACGCTATACGAGAATCGCAGCCTACGCTGAACTTTGAGTAACAATAATAGTTAAAAAAAAAAAATAGGCCGGCTGGGGCGTTTGAGTTAATAGCGCATGCGCATTGCTAAAAGTCGCTGACTACTGGCATAACTGTAGTTCGCGCTCGAACTTGCCCTCTGCAGCTCTAGCAAGTCACAATGGAGAGCACCACCAACCGTGTAACATTAAAAGGCTACTGTTCATTATTTAGACTGTAGAATGAAATTCTTTGTGCAGTTCCTAAATTCAGTTCCCATTATTTACACTTTTACCGGATAATTGCTCCCCGGTATCAGTGTCTGGGGGACACATTCACCCGGGTGGATCTGTCACCCAACAGGTACATTTGTCCTCCTGTCAAGTGGTAAATTTGTACATTTGGTTAAATAAAAAACTAAATAAATGTGTTCCATGTGGAGTGAATTCAAGAAACTAACACGAAAATGACAACTTTTGCGTAACAAAGCGAGGGGGGGGGCAAAATTACCCGAGTGAGTGGGGACTGATTCACCACGCTGGGGGACACTTAATTAAACGACACTTCGATAATTCCATCCCCTGACAGAATTATCGAGGTAAGGGACCAGGACAATTTTCTGGGGGGGGGGTGTAGACTTACCATCTACAACGCCAGTGCCAAATAAAAGTAATAAATATTTGGAGGGGACAATAATTTTTTTTTCCGAGCGTACCTGTTGAGAATGGTACAAAGGCTTCGTGCTGGATCATTGTCTTGCCGTCTTCGTTCAGGAAACGTCCGGGATTGAACTCCTCTGGGCGATCCCAAACCTTGGGGTCGTTCATCATCGCCCACAGATTTATAATCACACCTGTTATAATTCAATAATCAGTCAGCGATAACCTTCCCTGATGTTTTATAAGTGTTTACAATAGGATGGTATTTGGTGGCTTGTATGTACTTAATTTTAAACTCCAAGTATTTAATTGTGACTATAATCGCTCTTACATAGAAAAATGGGTACGAGTTAACAATCTTACTTCTTCCCTTGGGAATTGTGTATCCTTTCAGCTGAAACTCGTCTGTCGTCTCGTATGGCATAGTCGTGATCCCCACCGGACGTAAGCGCTGGACTTCATTGATGACCGCGTTGGTGTAGGGCATGCTGGGACGGTCCTCGCAAGATGGCTGACGGTCACTTCCCACCACTTCACTGATCTCTTGCTGGATCTGCATGTCACAGTTATTGCTTGGGTAATGAGGCAAAGTCATTCCAGGTTTATGCTTTTATAAACAGTTACCAAACTACCTTTTCATAGAACGAGAGACCCAAGTTTGAACCCTGCCGTACAAGTGTTTTTTGCCAAAGATTGTATACAATATAAATGCAAAACTAACACACAGCGATATTACTGGGATAAACCTTTCCTTCATTTTGATGTACAAACCGATCGTTCAAATTATAAAAAAATGATACTTGTTTTGCAAACTAATTCTCTAACGCAATTTGTAAAGAACGTGGAGGTTTAATTATTTAAACATTATAGGAGAGCCTCCAGTTTTAGTCCAAACAATACTGCTTAAAGAGAAATGCGTGAAGGCACCTTTCCATAATGCGCGTCAACACTTGTGCCAAGCGTTGAGTATCCCTCAGAATCGCTTCCGGGCCAAACACAACGCACACGTTTTGGAGTCGATTTTGCGTCAATGAAAGCAAAACACATCGCGTACGCAACGCACCCAAACAACGTACATAATGAATCGGCGACTTTGTATGTAAACTTTGAACTGTGAACATGTATATACTGACTGCCCTACATTACGACTCAGTTCGAAACAGTACGTGTACTTTACCTTCTCTTGTACTTCAGGGTACTTGAGGACGAAGGATATCAGCCACAGCAAGGTATTTGAAGTTGGGTTCGTACCAGCGCCAAACAAGTCCAGGATACCCCGCCAAGTGTGTTGGAGGGTGAGGGGCGGGGCAGGTCCAGTGCGCTCTTTCCCTTTGACGTCAGCGATGTATATGTCAATGATATCCCGGAAATCATTCTCGTCATAGGAGTCTTGGTGATCCTGGATCGATTTGATGAGATAAATCATTTCATTTTTATACTCCTAACTTTCCGGTTGGATGTAAGGGAACCTTATAACCAGATGCAAAGAGATCCAGTGTCAGATTCGAGGGAAATATATACATGTAGTGTAATTTTTCTTTTTCCTCTAGAAGCAATTTAAAAGTCCTGCAATTTAGTCTCAGCAATTCATCAGAAATTCTAAACAGGTTTGGGGGAACTCTCACTGTTCCCTCCCCCAAATAAAAAATAAGCTGTCTTTGAGGTGTATATCAAAGGTTAAGTACTTACCTGAATTACTGTTTCGATATATTCTTTGACAAATCTGACACATTCTCTCAATTTTGCCAGAAAAGGAGTGTGGTAGAGAAAAGGAAACGTGTTGCCCCACGAAGAAAATCCTTCGTTCTCAAAAGCCACTCGCAGACTGTCCAGTATCTTATTGAACATTGGGTCATCGTAATCGAAGCGGGACCCAAAACTTATGGAGCAGATGATGTTGGACACGGC